CCGGGCCCAAAAAAAAAAAAAAAAAAAAAAAAAAAAACCTGGGGACGAGGATCATCATTGTCGTCCTTGCGGTGTCGTTTGGACGAGGATGTTGCTGTCGTTTCGGATTCGGAGACGAAAGCATGTTGGTGGTGGTTTTTGCTGGCGGTGAAGGAGGAGCATTCGCTGCTGGAGGAGCTCGGCGGCGGGGCGGAGGAGGACCATGGCACGACCTGGTTGTCGAATTGGTGGTCATTGGCGGCGCAGAGGTGGCAGAGGGTGGCGGCGGAGGGGAGGGTGGCGCCGGAGGCATTCCACGGCGTGGGAGAGAGGCAGGTGCGGCAGAGGAGGGTGCGGGAGTGTCTGGCGACTAGGAAGTTGGCGGTGTGAACCTTGGCGTCGCAGGACCAGCACAAGGTTGCCTGGTCGGAGTCGCAGAAGATCCTGGCCGGAGCCTTGCATAGCTCGCAGTTGGCCTTCATCTCGCAAGGTTGGTGTTTTAATTTCTCTCTCCAGTGGGGATGAGAAATAAGAAGAAAGAGCCTTTAATTGTCGGCCAAATTTATAAAATTAATATCAATTTCTAGTTTCTCATCGGAGTCCCAAACTGCCCCTCTCTTCTCTCTCTAGTCTCTACCGTTTCATGTTTCCTACAAAATCAAGGATACAGTAAATCGATTGAACAAGTATGCTGTTAAAAGAGAAAAATCACCGTTAGTAATACGTCATTAACACTCTATTTTTTAAATCAAGTAGCTTCATTTATAGTTTTTTTTTTATTTTTATTCATCTTTCTTATTGCTTGTTTTTTTACTCTTTCTTATTTCTATTCAACATATTTCTCACTTTTTTTTCTTTCTCTTTGGTAATTCTCTATACTTTTGTGTTTTACCCTTACATAATTAATTTATGTGTCAAATTTTTTTTTTTTTTACTTTATTCTGTGTTTGGTGGGTTGAGATACGGTACAAGAGAGAAGCAAGAGAAATGGTACAGTAATAACTAATACTGTAATAATAACAGGTTTGGTGGTAATGATAAAAAATAATGTATCACAGGTTTGGTAGAGAAAAATTTGTAAAATTTTTTTTAACATCATAGTGGGTATGAGGTAGTTGCTCTCACATAATTTTCCTTTCTTTGGGAGAAGTTGGAGAAGAATTATGCCTCCAAAGATGAGAAAATTTTATCAAACTCAGCTTTTTATATTGGGATTTTGCAAGGAGAAGAATGACTCTTAGACAGTGGTTCGTCACACCTTATAACCTCCTTATTTTTTTTTAAAAATGAGTTTGTTTGATTGATAATCTCTTTTACATAACAATATTCATTAAGAGTGTTATATTATCTAAACCCTAAATCTAAACTATCAAATGAGGATGAATCAAGCTTATTTCTCATGAAGAGCCTAAGTCGTATTTTTAAGCTACGAGTCATCCTGAGTGGCAAGAAGTTATGGTATGAGAAATCAAAGCACTGTAGACTTGTGGGATGCCTTATCTTTCTCACTATCACTCGCCCAAAAATCATATACTTAGTGCATATTTTGAGCCAATTCATGCAAATTCCGAAAGTAGGAGCATTAGGATGCTACTATGCAAGTTTTGCGCTATTTAAAATCATCACTAGGATAGGGGATCATACTGCTAAAGGATAATGATCTTTAACTTGTTGACTATTGTGATTTAGATTGGATTTCTTGCTTACTCACGCAAAAATCACTCTTAAGATACTTATGAAGCTTGGATCAACTCCTATTCCTTAAAAACCAAGAAGCAAACAATTGTGTTTTGTTTTTTTAGTGAAGCAAAGTACCATGCAATGGCTTTCGTCATTAATGAAATCATTTGGTCATAAAGTTTGTTGTAATATTTGCAAGTTGATTGTGATTCACCGATGACAACCAAGTTACTCTTCATCTTGGAAGTTGATTGTCATTTTATCTTATAATACCTGTAAGTAGACACAATTTTCTACTATCTATATTCCAACAAAACAACAAGAAGCTGATATTTTCACGAAGTCTCTAAGTAGTAAACAATTTTCTAAATTATCTTTCAAGTTGGATGTTCATAACCCTTATAGTTCAACTTGAGGGGGAGTAATAAAGTAACAACAAAAGTTTGTTGACAAGATAAGAGATAAGAAGTTTTTTGACAAAATAAGTAAATAAAATAAACCTTGTGATCATGCATTTAAATTTTTATTTTTATGGTTCATAAAAGATAAAATCTAATATGTAGTTTTAATGTTATTTTTACTAGTTTGTATATGTTGGTTGCCTATATATTAGAGGCATTGTTCGGATCAGAATAAGTCAGACCTTAAACAAGAGTTTATGACCTAGTCTCTTTAAAGACTAATTTGACTTATATAAAGTTTATACTTTTAAAAAAACTTATTTATATAAAAAAATCAGATTTTAACTTATATAAAAGTTTGTTAAGCCTAAAAGATCGACCTATTTATTTATATAATATAATATATATATATATATTAAAAAATAAATTTATAAAACAAAAATAAATTATCAACATTAAAGTTTTTTATATAATTTTCTTATTATAGGTTTATAAGCTTATAACTTGTGCATAAGTGTACATTAATATATATGATTACACATAAATTATTCCTTCAATAGAAAATGATTCAATTTTTCTTCTATATTTTTTTAAAAATTTAAATTTTAACAATATTGAGTAAATCATATTTTAAAATAATTTTATTAGTTTTTAAAAATTAAATTTATTAACCTAATTAACATTGATAATTCAAATAGACTAATAGGTTGGACTAAACTTATAAATAAAAAATTATGATAAATAATATATTAGATTTAAACTTTAATTTTGTAAAACATACTCAATTTATATATTTAAAGTTTGACTTAACCTGTACTATTTCTATCCCTGACACACACTTTTATTATCAATAAATAAAATTAATATACTCATATTTCATATACAAATTCTATTAAAAGTTTATATAATTGTTTTATATATATTTTTTAGATATATTCAAAATTATTACTTTTTTCTATTTTTCTATTTAAACACCTTGAATTTCAATTTTATGTCATATATTTTTTCTTTATTTCTCTTGTACATATTTCCTCTCCTTTTGTTTATTTTCTCCTTTACTATGCACATTAGTTTATAGAGTAGTTGTTGGTAGCATAATAATTTTTTGACTAAGGCTCCAACTTTAATAAACCCTTATAATAATACAATGTACATATGATTATGAAATAGAATAGGATAGTGTTAGCCTTTTAAACTTTTGAATTACCAACTTAGTGCATTATTTTAAAAGATTTACCAAATTGAGACAATTTGTAGGCATTCGGTGAGTATGATTTAAACAACCATAAATAGATTTGGCCAAATAAAAAATGGATAAATAAAAAAATACCAATAAACTTTTTGGTATTAGTTTCTAATCACACGTATTATATATATAAAGAGAGAGTTAGAAAAGAAAAGGTAAAATGTATTGGTGTAAGGAGGTGAAAAGAAAAGGTAGCATGGTTTAGGGTGATAATAGTAAAATGAGAGGATAGACATACCTAGGGCAGTGTGGAATGTATGAAAGGACCTGCAAAAGCAAAGCAAATGAATGTGTGGTTTTGTGGTGTCAGGCATGCCAGGTGTACGCTTCTGAGGGAACACAACTTTTTTTCCATGGTCTGTAAATACGTTATCAATAATCAATAATCAATAATCAACAATCAATAATCAATAATCAATAATCATAAATAAAAAATTATACATCCTCCTACAATATAATTCGAAATGTATTTCAAATGCTTAAAAAATTAATTTAAATCATAAATTATTAAATTAAATAATACTTTAATAATAAATTTATTAAAAAATATTAATATTTTAAGATTTCGGATAATATTTCGTTTCGGGAGGATATAGTTATCCTCGTCATAAATAAACTTTTCCTACATTTTTAATGATTCATTTCTTGCTGGTGTCGTGATATTTTCTTGGATCGGAACAAATTAATGCCGAACGGTGATGCATCTAATGCATGCCACGTAAGCATGTTCCAGATTCTCATTTCATTACGTGGCAGAATCTCATTCACTCCATCGAGTGGGATTTGCGAGATTTTGATTTCGCTTCTTGTTACCGCATCTCACGCGCTCATCGCGAGTGGGGAAACGGCAACTGCTGCCAAAATGGACCGACATCAAATACGAGTATATGACATCGGCTTCTTTCTTTTGTTTTGGCACCATTTTATTTATGTCTATTTTCTTTCTTTTACACAAAAAAAAGTATCACGAGTACTCTCTTTTTATTTGGTTTTTCTGTTCAACTTCGCTTTGAAATGTTTTTATGCATATAACATGAATGTATTTAAAATTTGAGATTTTATGTACATTGTCAAAGGAGTTTTGTATAATATAAGTGACTAATTTTAAAACAAGTGTTATATTATTTTTTAATATAACATTAATTATCTATTTTTTATTAATACCACTAATAATATCATATAAAAAATAATTTTTACATTACATCATTTTTAATAAAAAATATATATCAATTATAAGATTAATTTTATAAAATTATTATTTTGTTTTATTTATTTGTAATTTTTTAATATGTAAAATAATCTAAAATAACACTTGTTATTGTTATAGGATAAAGAGAATATAATATTGCTCTAAATAGACATTTTATTTGGGTAAGAGATCATGAAGCTTTTACAATTTTTTTGAACATCCTTAATTTTAAGAGAAAATAAAGAAAGAGAAAGGAGAAAACAAAGAAAGAGAAAGAGCATAAAGAGAGTGATCAAAATAATTAGAGAAGCCAGGGAATATAAAGAGAAACAAAAAAAAATTTAAAGGTTATTTACCTAACTTTTAGAAGGAAAAAGAAAAACTACTTGTAGATATACAATGTAAAGAGTGATGAAAAGCAGCCAGACCTCCCATCAACAGACTAATCTTAGCAGATTTTTTTTAAAAAAGATTATTTTTTTCTAAAAAAGTTAACTTGTTTTATGTTTAAATCGCTAAACGAGTTTCGCTCAAAATCCCTATTTAAGATAGGGGGAAAAAAAATAGTGTAACCAATACCTGGAAGAATTTTTCTTAGGACCACCATGTCATGAATAAAAAGTTTCATGTCCATTATTTCTCTTCTTATTTTACTTTTTTTTAATCATTATATTTTATTATGATTTAAATATGTATTTAGTCTTTTAAATTTAGGATAAATTTATTTTTCATCCTTCAAATTTAAAATTATTGTTTTTAATCTCTCTAATTTCAAAAAAACTTATCTTAATCTTTACATTCAAATTTTGTTAAGAAATTTATCAAATATTATTGCATAAAATTCACTTATTGGTGTCTCTGTTAGTAAAAGTATCACATTAAATTTAATTGATATTACATAATCATCTTATTTATTACTTTCAGATACGTTATCGATGATTTGAGGGACCAAAATTTTTTTTTTGAAAATTATAAGAACTAAATACAACGATTTTAAATTTGAAAGATCAAAAATAAATTTATCTTAAATTTAAATGACTAAAAATATATTTAAACTTTTTATTATTTATAAACAGTTTGAAAAATTAAGCAATGGACTTAGAAGTAATAATTTAGAGG